TGTGTGGCGTTATGCACGGTCGACCGTAGGCAGAAGAGGAGAAAAGGACAGCAAACGGAATGCTGTGACAGACTTTCGTGGGATTTTCACTAGCTCATCACGAGGGGATAATATATATATCGTCACAAACAGAATATATATATATCCTCTCATGAAGCAGACGCTCTGATTCACAGTGTGACAATATAACTTTGTGACGATATAGAGACGTATATATTCCCCCCCCATGAACCACACTCTAAATGTCTCATAGGACCGCCATTGATTACCAGTATGCTTGCAGCAAAGGTTTACTACAGTAACTTTTAATAGGTTAATTTCACAAACAAGACGTGTTCTCTTAATCGTCCCATCTCTTAATCTCTTCAGGCCTTCCTGTCCCTTCCTCCATCGCCGCGCCTTGTCCTTCCACACACACACGCGCCCGTGAGAGCGCGCGCGCGCACGTACACGCACAGGTGTCCTCCATTCCGATCCCCCGCCGTTATGGAATGAGATAGTCTTAAAATGTGAGATGAGCAGTACCGTCTTTCCCCCAAGCACAGCGCACCCTGATAAAGCTATCTTTCCGGCGAGATGCAGTCATTATGACGGTGCGTTGTGTTCGGGGGAAGACGGCAGACACTGTGGAAAAAAAAAAGTGATACCGACATTATCGTTGTTGTTGTCATTGTTTTTTTCTTTTCTTTTCTTTTTCAACACTATTGCTGTTGAAATCTAGGCTACCAGCCGGGCCGCCCGGGTCCCAGGTGGCCAGCCCGTGCAAGGACCAGGGAAGGTCCCAGCAAAAAAAAAAAAAAAAAAGGAACAAAATCCAAAATATCCGAAAAAACAACTATGTTATGCAAAAAAATAAACTGAACAACTCTTGCCTCAGGGTCGCATCGAAATTCGTCACCAAATTTAAAATAAAAAATAAATTTTGAAAATATATATTTTTATTTTTTATTATTTTTTTAATTTATTTTGGCCCGGCCGGGCAAGTGACCCCGGGCCACTCTGGTAGCCCAGGTTGAAATAGAGGAGAAATAGAAATAGAAATTGAAACAGAATCATAGAGTAGGGAAAAAAAAAAAAAAAAAAAAAAAAAAAAAAAAAAAAAAAAAAAAAAAAAGGGAAAAAAAAAAAAAAAAAAAAAAAAAGAATCATAGAATAGAGACTCACACAACAACAAACGTTAATACTAGTAAAAGCGAAAGACCCAATCATGTTCACCTCCGATGTAGCCAACTCAAATCCAGAAGTGTCTATCCATCTGGCACAGCATCCTCCTCCCTTCCTCCCTCCTCTTCCTCTTCCTCCTCCCTTCGTCCCCCTTTCGATCGCAAGAGAATCCTAAATATATAAGCCTAAATCGACGGACTACCTTGGTAGGACAGCAAGCCTGCAGATGGACACAACGAAGCCGTATGGGACCCACCATATGGGACCCTCGTCACTTTCTTGTCTGATTCCTCCTCCAATCACTACTGCTACTCCGATCCCGACGTACCTGCTACACCCTTCTTGTCCTTTCATCCGCGATCTGGGTGTGCATGTCTCGTGCGCAATCCTTTACTCCCCTTCCTTCCCTTGGGCCTCGCTCCTGTATTCACGAAATGTGCAACACGACAATGCATACCCGCTAGAACATGGGAACATACACTGCCATACTTTTTTGTCTTTTCTGCAAGTGGTCAGTAGTGGAGCGAGGCCCCTTATTTCTTCTTTCCCGTCGTGCACTGATCCAGTCGTACGTTCCACGTGGCACAACACTTCTCCCTCCTCCTCTTCTCTTTCCTTCTGTGCCCCCCCCCCCGCCCCCTCCCCCTCTCCCCAACCCGGTCCCTGCCTGACCTCGCCGTGGGAGAACAGATCTCTCCCTCTCATATTTTGCTGCTGATGCTCCTCTTCACCGACTCCTCCTTCCCT